CGGAAATGCGTGCTGTGAAGTGAGATGAGGTTTTATAAAGCGATACATATGAAAAGAGTTTGCAGCGATGCACTACTCACTCATCAATGGAACAGCGTTACACATAAATCCGCAAAATAATCACATCACACGATGAATGGAATCGTTGTTTTGAGAATATAATGAAAGAGTCAATCATCATAAATAAAGTGACGTTCAAAACAGCCAACACATCACTCCTAAACGAGCACCGAACCAAATTAATGATTGCAAACAACGACTCGATAAAAAGCAAAACTAAAACGTTTTGTTGTTATCTGCATTAAAAAAGCCGCATTTGATTGACGGTAACAGTTTGAGTGATAAATGATAATGAAAAAAACAATGATGAGATGAAATAGCCAACGAGGATGATCGAGAAAGAGGGTATTATTGGTGAAATGGTGGACAATTTACCTGTTGATAAGCACTTGATCTAGCCTGTCCATTCGATCGTCCTTTGGTGAGACGCGTGAATCGTTTACTCAACGATCGCAAAAGGCCCGACATTACGAATATCGTGATCTGAATCAATTTGAGAGGATATACAATAGGTAGATCCGTTGATTTTTTAAACAGAACCAAAACTGCATAAATTGATTTGTTTAGCAAGGTGCCGTGCTAATCATACTTTGTGACTTATTATTTCAAACGGAAATCTAAACTGTTAGCCAGATCCAACTTATGAAGCTTCTTCAGCACAGTCACGGATATTCGCATCAAAATTACAGTTTTGCATTGTTCTTCTTTTTGACTATCCGTCCAATCCACAGACAAGTTGGAGATTTCAATCAATTCTACAACATAAGGCACTGCCCACCTCTTTTCTAAACGATCCAAACGATCGTTTTCTTATTACACCTCGTATAATCATCAATGCAATACGTGAACGATCAACAAAACACCATCAAAAATTAATTTTTGGCTAAACGACTAAAACAATGAGACGAAACACGGTCGCATCTAAATTTACGCGAGAAAGAACATAAAATATTCACAAACCTACCTCCCACCGTGTCAGAATCTCATTTCAAAAGAACATGCCAGTCAGTACCTTATAACAAATTCAAACTTGAAAATGCAATCATTTCATACGGTTAGGTCGAAAGACACCCTAATAAGATATCATTT